ATGACAAAGGAGATGAAGTCGATGCGTGACTTTGACGTGTTCGACGAAGTCTCAGTTGAGTCGGTCTCTGAGGAGACTTTGCGGTCTGCAATTTCCACGAAGTGGGTTAAAGTGCGCAAGCCTGACGGGACTGTGCGCTGCAGGATTGTGGGGAGAGGTTACACTCAACTTGTGGAAGACAAGGATGAGACTTTCGCCTCAACCCCGTCCTTAACCACACTTCGGCTGTTGTTGACTTTGGCTGTTGCGAAGGGATGGCACATCTCGATCGGAGACATTTCGACGGCATTTCTTCATGCCCTGGTCGACGGTGACTTTTATGTCATTCCTCCTCTGGAATTCTATCCAGAGGGCCGCACTTTGTGGAAGCTTAAGAAAGCCCTTTACGGGCTTAAGCACAGCCCTAAGCTTTGGCAGCAGCACTTTGCATCTGTCATGGAGAAGAACGGCTTTCGACGCATGAAGTCGGACCCGAACCTTTATGTACATGACAGCAAGCAACTTTACGTTCTGGCGTATGTGGATGACTTGATGTTTTTCGGTTCGCGGGCTGATGTTTCGACTTTGATCCGGGATCTTCAGAAGGACTTGTTGCTTAAGGTGACAGGTACTTTGGATGAAGGTCAGAGTTCGTCGTTTCTAGGCCGCAAGCTGAAGCGCACCTCCACTTTCATCTCTGTAGCACAAAGATATCAACATTTTTGTTGACAGCGATTGACACCCGACGCTCCACTTCAGGAGTTTCCCTCTTTGTGCTCGGGGCGAATATACTTTCGCACAGCAGGACCCAGCACCGCCACCTTCCAACTTTCGGGTTTGAGGTTTAGCCACCCCGTCTCGGGTTGGACTTTGCCACTCATCATCTTCCCCAGAAGATCCCAGACGAGAAAGAAGAGGACTTTGAGAGTTGAGAGAATCACGTTCTTGCGGACATGTACTTTTTCATGCTTGTGCGGACATGTACTTTTGCTTGCTTGTGCAGTTCGACATGTCTTCGACTTTCGCTCGTCTTAGGAACTTTCATTTTTCCGGAACCAAGTTTGATGATGACTTTTCAGTTTTCTGTTTTCTCCGTTCCGAAAAGGAAGAAACTTTTACCGTGAAACCGTGATGGTGGATGACTTTTCGATGATGATTCTCCGGTGCGAACGCACCACTTTTCAATGTACATATGTAAGCCCACTCGACTTTCCCTTTCAGGGTGTTCGGGTTTTGTCTTGGGTTTTGGTTTTAACTTTGCGCCTCCCGTCGCCACTTTCGCTCTGCGTTGCCCGTTTCACTTCGACTTTGCTTATCAGATGGAACCGGACATGCGCAGATGGAGCGCCGAGACTTTGTTGTCTTGGTCGACTTTTGCGTGCGCTTGGTGCACGACTTTGATCTGCCAAGTGCCTCTGCAACGCGATTGCAGCGACTTTGGGGACACCTTCGGCTGTATCCCCTGAGCCAAGAGACTTTGTCTTGGCGTCTTCAGGACGAGCTGGAGACTTTGTCTTTTATCAAGCGACTTTTGTCTGATATTACTTTGGCTAAGGCCAGTGACTTTGTGGATTACAGGTCCCTGCCGATCCTGACTTTGGCGGAGACTTTGGTTCTCCTTGATCTACAAAGGTCGCGGGAGCGACTTTATTATCTGTCACTTTGGGTGACACTCTTGCGCAAAGCGAGACTTTGAAATGGCGCCAAAGAAGCTGGATGAGTACTGGGCGCCACACTTTAGGCCCGGAAATGAAGGCACTTTGCCTCAGGATGATCAAGGCATTTTGCCGCCAGCGAACTTTTCTATGTATTGTATCACTTTTTACCCAAGTGATTTCATACAGATGATTGCGAATGGCAGGCAGCTGGAACAACTTTGGCACACAGGTACACCTTACCCTGGTGGACCGAATGCCGAGATGGTTCTGCAGACTTTGTACCCTGGGCGACAGCATCCTGGACTTTACACGCCACCAGAGCAGGTGCTCATTGCAGCCACGACTTTTCAGTGGGTGTTTCAGACCATGTTGATGGGTGTCCCGGCCACACTTTCACCACAGGTCTTTTGCAACTTTATGCTATGGACAACTTTTCCGGTGGCTATGATAAATATGAAAATGCAGACCCTACTTTCGGGCGGATCCTTACACTTTTCTGGTGCCGACAGTTTTTGGTCGGAGGGCCATTGGAACTGGTCCTGGAGCCCCAGGAGTGCACTTTTACTTTTCAGTTTCGGCCTCAGCATACAGCTTCGATCTGGTATTCGACATCCCAATGTCGGTGCACTTTGCACCGTTGGCTTCCGGCCAACTTTGAGGTATTTCCAATACCTGACGAATGCTTTTCAAGTATGGAACCGCCGTTATCTGGACTACTTTCTAGCAGTTCCAAGAGATTCGCAACTTTTGCTCAACTTTGCAAATGATGATCAGCGCTGCATGCTGCAGTCAATGGTGATACTTTGTCACCCGGGTAGAGATGGTTACTTTCTGTGTGACCAGCTGAACAATATGTTCAACAGAGAGGATTCTCCTTGGTGGAGACTTTACCATCTACCTATTCAACGCCGACTTTGGAATGCAGCTACCCAAAGCCAGACTTGGGACCAGGTCCCACGGGAGATGTGGCAATTGGCTGCCCGTCCTCGACTTTGACTTTCTGGCTTCAATTGGCTACTTTTCGCCCTCTGCAAAGGGTTGAGCCATATGCATGGATCACTTTTCGCCCATCTTGGGTTGGATCCACTTTGATGCTTGGCATGGTGCCAACTGGTCGCTGCACTTTAATGGGCCGACCGCCACGCTGCACTTTGATGTGCCGTGCGCACACGTTACTTTGAACCACGACTTTCTCTTGGAAAGCAACTTTTGGGAGGTTGTAGATAGGAGACCTTCGTTGCCACTTTTCTCCAGCTGCCGCGCAAAACTTTTCGGTGCGCTCACATATGTACATGTACACATTTACGTGTTATTGTACTTTGCGAGAATAAAGTAAGGACTTTACTCTCGAGGAGGCGTGTGAAAATAACACGTCCCCTTTCTCCCAGAGACTTTGCCAACAGCTTTGCCAACCTCGCTGTTGGCTCAAGACACACTTTGCTGTGTGGAGAGAAAGGCGCTGCTGAACTTCAGGGTACTTTGCGCTTCAGTCGAGTGAGCTTGCGTAACATCTACTTTAGGGTAGTTTGGTGCGCTTTCTAGTACGTTGTACTTTCGCACATACGCACGTCCATCCATACGTACTTACATCCATCCATACATGCATACTAGGGCCTACTAACTAATACATACTAATACACCATCATACATGCATGCATGCATATGCAGCAATACAAACTCGTTGAGCACTCTGATTTCGAGCTTCAGGGTTCTGGGGCATGGTGGCTTTTCCGGTGTCGGCGGAAGGGGGCATCAGCCCTTGGATGCAACTTCCACCGGCAGCCAGCACCGAGCAAAGGCATGTGCAGCTCGGGTCGCCACCGGACGATACGGCATGCCCCCGGCTGCAGGAGGAGTGCGAATGCTGAACACCAGTCCCGCGTGAGCCAAGTGCTCTCGGATTGGCGACCGGATCAAAATGCAGTCTTTCGAGATGCTCTACATTCTGTCTTGGACCCTCGCAGGCACAGAGGGAAACAGAAAGTCTTAGGCTTGATCACGGCAAGGTAAGAGTCCAGCATGACAGCATCCTGCTAAGTGCGCTGAGTGCAAGCTCGTGCTTTTTGTGTCCGGAGGCTGAATGGCAGGCTCAATCCCCCTGGAGGACAAAGGGATGAGCCCGTCATTCGCAGAACGCTCCTGGCACCTTCAGAGCGGTCTTTGGCGCGAAGCGCTCAATCAGATAACAACGAGGTGGTGACACAAACCTAGTTGCTGCATCTGACGCCCGCTTGGCTTATCTACTAGCTTCAATCAGGAGACAATGCTGGTGAGGCAGATTGAGCAGACGCTAGGGTATAGTGCTGTCATTATCAAGCTTCACTATTCTGCTCCAGTTCTTCTCAGTGCTTCGTGGCAATCACTTGCACTTCGCAAGATCAGCTAGATCAGCCAATGCAGCTCAAGGGCCCTCAGACAGTCGCGCTAGTCGCCTGCATCGGGGAATCGGGAAGGCCTAAGTGCAAGCACGGCTGAAGTCCTTGCAAGGCTTCGTTGCTTGATGGCTCTTCGGACCGAAGCCCCAAAGCCTGCTCGAAGCCTGCATTCACAATTCCAACTCACCTGCCCTATGAGGGTTGCAGGAGCGAGGATTTTCAGCGGAGATGCCATGCTCTCGTCCGGCAGAGCAAACAAGGTATCATCCGACAAAAACGGACTGCAAGGAGAAGACCTATTGCGAAAACCTGTGGCAAGATGTCAACTAACGCTGTCACCTGTAAAGGATCTTTTGTGGGCACAATCGACGCTCGTTCGCCATTCCTTCCATGTGCCTTCGATTGCAATCGCAGTTTGAACAATCGTGATGTTCAACTCCGATTCTTATGCATGCGCGCGTCGCAGTACGAGTACTCGACTGTGCGAATGTGACTACGTGTGTTCGTTTTGATTGTCAGCCGTTGCACCTTCCGTGGATGTTTCTGGCTACTACACACGCAAGTGCAAGTTACTCCGACAGAGAAATCTTATCTAGAAAGGTGCCCACCGTTGGCAATTCCAGGAGCCCTCCAACAAGTTTGATAATGTCTTCGCACACCGCAGGCATGCGACGGAAGGCACTCAGTGCGAGATCTTTCGGAATGCAACAAGTCAGAATGATCAGATCGTGCCCAAGCCACACGCACCTTGATGATTCGAGAGCAACACATGCTGCTTTCCTTGCGTCGAGTGATCTTCCAGCCCTCAAGCAATCCCACACCAAATCTCAGAGAGCAGGAGTTCAGAAACAGCTGACAAGAAGAGAGACATCAAGAAGACTTGGCAGATTGCTCGGAGCTTGCGGCTATGCTTCACGTGTTTCATCTGGAAACCCGCTTCCCCGTGAAACATGTCGAGAAGTTGTGCATTTCCGTCTCAGCTCGTGGCTCAGGAGAAGATGCTCGCGATTTGGTCCTAGAATTTGGGCTACTCTCATGCTGGCGTTGCGCTGGCAGAGAGCCGTAGAAATCAGGTCCTGCTGACTTCCGCTGAGCGCACGGGGGAAATTGACCTCAACTAACTGCACAGCGGATCGGTAGATGTCTTGACCCATAGAGGAGGCGCAGGGCGCCAGAAAGCCCTGGAAGCTTCGTTACGCTCCAATCCACACTTCCATGTTCCGACCCTCAGCACTTCAGTCACGCTTTTACTGGATCCTCGCGTTGCAGCATCTTTGAGCCATGTTTGTACCAACGGTTACCAACGGATGCAGAAACCTGTTGACCATGCATCAAGCATCCGAAACAGTATCATCACAGGAAGGAAGACAGGACTCAGAAGGCTGCTTCGACTTTGACGTACAGGTCCCCGAAACTGGCAGGGTCCTGTGGAGGGAACACAGCATCAAGTGGGACTGATCATGACTCGAAGGCTCTCTGAGAGGGCTTACGTCTCTCAGCGGCATGCCCTCACCTCTCACCTGGCACCATGCGAGACTCGAAGCGTCCAGGGATAGTTGCCAGACGACACAAGACCGTGCCTTTATGACTTGAAAGGGCTTGGTTACGCTGTCGGTTCCTGGAAGGTCGTCGTGATCATGGTATCAGATAGCACGCAAAAGCACAAAATTTATCAAACTTAAGGGCTTTTCTCGGCAGCTGCTATCCGCTGCCTGTTCTGCTGATAAGAGCAGAAACGAGAAGCAGCAATGACGAGGGCTGAGGAACAGACCAATCTCCACTGTGTGGCCGTCCATGTGCCTCATGGCAGATTCAGAATGTAAAGCTGGAAATGGGCACTACTGTGTTCGTCGAATGTTGGTGCAGTGCAAGCAAGCACAAACTTCTGACCTTACACTCCTGGACGCGAGGTCGGAAACTGGAGAAACAATTTCGGGCAAACAGTCCTTTGCCGGGAAACTCGGCCGACCAAGTTGGAACCTGATTCGTCGTTTCTGCCCGGGGATCGAGTTTGGACTCAAAAAAGTGACGCCGACCGAGCAAAATGGAGCAAAATGATGCTCAAGTAGCAGTTACTAGTCGGCGACAAGCCAGATTCCAACGTCTCGTCCGGGAGCGTAACCCATCCTAACCCCACCATTCAGTGATTGATTTTAGTAAGCTTACACAGATTATATAGGGAAAACACTGCTTGGCTGTGAGCTGGATCTCGCTTGCTTGACTGTTGTCTTAGCAAGTTTCGCTCAACCGGAAGGAGGGTAAAGAATCTAAACGTACACAGGAATCGAACACCGCACGATGGCAACATTCCTCCTTCGGCACACTGGCGAGGCCGCTGATCACGCGGCTTGGAACCCAATCGAACCCCTCCCCCCCCTCTCCAGCCGGCCAGCCGGCCGGCGGCAAGATTTCGGGGGTGCACTGAGGAGTCGAGGTCGCAGGCTTGAGCAGGAAGGCTGTGCCTGACGGTTTTGGTCCACCCCAGCAAAGCTTCTCGAAGCGTCACCTTGTGGCACGGCAGAGATCACCAATACAGTGTCCTCTCTCAGAATGCACGGCACCTTCGTGTTCATGTGCAGGTCATCCCCACGTCTCTCGAACTCCGGATGCTTCGCAACCTTGCAGCGATGCTTTTCAGGGAAGGGACACGGGACACATGTTCAAAAGCGAGCCTTGAGCGTCAAGATCATGCTGCCGGGGATCATGCCTGGCCTCGCATCACAAGAGCCGTGATGCGATGGAGATGCGATTCGAGACAGGCACATGCTGCTGTAACGGCCCTAGCGGACCTCTGGTCGGTCATGCGAGGAAAGGTGAGGCTTTCGCCATCCCGCATTCCCTTGCAGCTCAGGCAGCCTAGTCAGGACTCTGGGGGAGAAGATGCCGGCGGGCCTTTTCTATGTGGGCATCTATCTCGGCGAGCTCCTGCTTGCACTTCTCCTGGCCTTAGTCCCGATGGGAGGCAAAGTTCAAGGGTGTCTGTAGCTATACAGTGCGAGTAGGTGGAGGACTCTGCACTTCTTCTTGCTGCTGCATGAACATGCCAGGGCCAACCTACCAACTGCAACCGGCGGGCGGCCGCAAAACGTTACACTGTCGTGATCCCTTCGCGCCTGCCGGTTTACTAACCTGCAGAGCACGGCCAGCTTCGGACGAACATGTGTGGAAAGCGCGGCAAGACAGCGCGATGGAGCCTCACTTCGTTCGGACCTTGGACATCACCGAGGTGTCAGAAAAGCAATGAGGAACTTTCGGCGAGGCTCAAGCACCTGTGACAGCCCTGGCACTTTGGAGAGTCTGGCTTGACCTTTGGCAACCGCACGGTCACTCCGCTAACAACTCGAGAAGCCAAGAAACTGCTCTGAGACTTATGGGGACGGCGCCCTGCAACCTCGACAGACAATGCGCCGTTCGATCTCCGCCTGTCGTCGTCGTGCACTTTGTGCGCATGGCTCAGGCTCGTGCCCTTGGCTGATCAACTGCGCTTCAGGCCTTTCTGTTGCCACCGTTGTACAGGTCTTCTAGACTCACCTTAGAGCCGTGCACAGCTAAGCTATCAGCGCTCTATAGGTCTGCATGGGAAATGCTCAAAGTCATCTAGGTTTCGGCTTCCGCAAGTCTGCTGCAGTTGCAACAGGGACAGGGGCATTCCTGCATCTTTTAGCATGGTATGCATGGTTGACCCTTGCGGCGGACGTCGGTTCATCAGTCTGCAGTATGGGATGTTCCAAACGAGCTCGCGCGCCCGCTTGCAGGAGGTGCGAGAGCCTGGCAAACTACACGCGTCTGGAGCGGGAGATGCTGGTCTAAAGCCCTGGTGGTGGCAAGGTTGTGCTGGTGGTGGCGGCGAGTTCTGCTGAGGCTTCTGCTGCTATAACGCATTGCGAGTAACTTGCAGATTAAGCCTGTTATGTACCATTTTTCTCGCTTTGATGCTGCAATGTTATCCTTGTCGATGTTGCCATCGGCATGGATTTCGACGATGATGCTGTCGTCGCTTTAGCTGTTGCTGCTGTTGCTACAGTTGATATTGGTGATGCTGTCGTCGTGCTCCTCCTCCTCCTCCTCCTTGTCGTTGTTGGAGGCAATTACTGGCGCTTTCGGCTGGCTACTGTAGTTCGTATTTGCAGCGGACCTTGTCGCCCAAAGCACCGTCATGCATCGTGTCGGGATTCCTTCAAGTGCCACGGAATCTGGAACCCTACCGCCTATCACAACCTTCTCCACAAAAGGCAACATGCTTCGCCGCTGTGCTTGGGCTGGCAGTCGGACAGCATGCGCAGTTTGAGGCCGATTACTACGATCTGGTTCACACAGTCTGGTTTCCAAGCGCTGTTTCTGCCGGTTTATTGGGCCCGGTGCAGGTCACAGAAGGTTGCGGACGTGGACCGTGGAGTCTAAGGTCTCTGCTGCCAGATTCGCTCTGGCATCCTCGCCTGGTCTGGTGTTCCCACTCGTCAAGGCCATCCGTTGAGAAGGACAGGTGCCTTTCTCGATCTCGCCTTTTTCGGCCTTCTTGACTGCCTGCCATTCTGCTACTCTGCCCTGATGCCAAGCATGGGAGCACAGCGCGGCCTCCATCCCGCCGGTGTCATAGAGGATCTTCTTGTCCGGATCGTTCAGGATCTGAGCAGAGCCGCCGCCGGCCGCACCCCCCGCACCCCGCACAATCCCTATCGCTGCAGAGCCCGCCGCGCCTCGTAGGCATCCCGGATCTCGCCGAACTTCCTTGCGTAGTCGCAAGCCATAAGTGTCAGCACCATCCCGGCAGCTGTTCTGTTTTTGAGCGGCGATCGCGCCTTTTCGACTCCTCATCGGGATTTTTGTCGGGGTGGTACTTGATGGACAGCTTCCGGTACACCTGTCAGGCTTCCGTCGTGTCAGGCTTCCAGTTGAAAGCTGCAATTTCTGTTCACCTGGAAAGCATGCCTCACGGCATGCTCTGTGCCGGCCTTCTTGATGTCTGCCTCGTCGGAATCTTCCTGACAAGCATGTATGCGCCTTTAGCATGTCCTGTCTTGTACGGATTGCAGTGCGAGATTCGATGCTTGTCTACTTCCAAGGCACTGCAATGAGACGGGTCTGTTTGGCTTGGTATCGGCCATGGTGTGGGCCCAGGGCCAGAGATCAGCGGGAAAGTTGTGGCTAGGAGCGGGGTGCGATAGGACAGGGATGAGAGGCCAGCTTGTTTGGCAAAGAACTGGAGCAAAGCACCCCTTCTGTGGCCTGGAGGCCGAGGATCTCGTAGAGGTCCTTCGAACTGTGAGAGTCTGAGTTTGTGACTCTCAAACCGACGCTCGCTCTCCGAACGTGGGCTGCTGCGCGTGGCTGGGCCCTGGGCCTTGTCTAGCTCAGCCGCTTCATGGTCGAAAACCTCAGAGGCATTGCGAATGGAATACTCTCATGCACATGAGGCTATAAAAGGCCAGGCAGCTCTTTGGAAAACGGCAGAGCACCTATCCCCGTCGGAGACGCGGCGACCCCTGCTTGGCTGCTCGACTTGCCGTCATGGTTATATATAGGTTAAAGACGGAAGACACGGCAATTCTGCGCTCATTTGCATCCACACCCTCCTGCCTCATCTGCATCCCTTGCATTTTCCGTTGATTCTGCTCTGTTGGCACCTCGCCGACCTCAGTCGCACCCGAGGAAGCGAGATCGTGTCTCCGCCCCTAACGTGAGCAGAGCCAGCAAAGCTGAGAGCCTCTGCTATCTCCAATTCATGGAGCCCGGCTTGGCCCCAGAGCACAAAGATCTGACCAGGATACCAGAGTCTCAGCCGCGTTACCGCCTCGTTATCTTAACACCCTTTGCCTTGCCCTTGTTGGCAGACCATTTGCACTGACCACGTTGGCAGTCATTGGTTGGAGCTTCGAAGTTGCCATCCTGACCGTGCTTAAAACACTCTGGCACCCCTGGGTCTGGAGCGGACATCCGCCTACGCACCGCAGTTCGTGACACACGCTCGTCACTCCTTCTGGAACTTGACATTCCTCCAATTGTTCCAACTCCACTCGGTACCTTCAAGAGCATGGCCATGCTCAAAGTCGAAGTCATTCAGGCCCCTTGGCCGCCCTGGCCCTGCCTTTCATCCAAGCGAACTTCTTCGAGATTTTGTCAGACCTGAGTTCCAATTCTCTTCTGTCCGCCTTTCCGCACCAGTGACATTCAGAGAAGCTGGCGAGCCCTTGGGCCATTTGATCGGCTTCTCTCGACGACCGCCTGCGCTTCCGCATCTGCCACGCTGATGCTTACCGACGGCTGCTACAAGGTCTTGCCGGCACTTGTGATTTTTCGCGGCGGCAGGCCAAAGTCCGAGGTGCTGGCTAAAGCAAAGAATCCACACTGTCTGTTCAAATCCAACAGCCGCGTGAATTGTTGCTCGTGCACGGTGCAATATATTAGACCCGGTCTCGCCGCATGCAGTGCAAGGCAAAGGCAGCTGCAAGATCCTGTGATGACTCAGCCGCGCAGTGCTTTGCGAGAGCCATGAAGTCACGGCTTTGCGCTTTGCGGACTGTCCTTGGCCTTGTTCTTGGTTTCTGCAGATGCCTGCAGCGACAGACGCAGCCTCGCAGCCTCTGCGGGAAGCTCTGGCTCTCTGGCTCACGCCCTCCGGCCTCAGGAAAGCACGTTCCCTGCACCACGACGCGCCTCAGTGCCGCGGAAAAAATTCCATGCGTGGGAACGACGCGAGGGAATCCCGGGCCCGCTACATTCGAAATACCGGACGGTGGCTGGGACCCGTCACCTCACAAATCCATTGGTGCTGCAGTCCGAGGCTGGGGCTTGCAGAAAGGGCCTGCCTCTTCCTTGAAGCTGAGGCTCAATTTGGACCTACCATTCTGTGGAGCGCGCTGGCAACATGCACACGGAAATCATAAAAGATGCAAGGAAGCTATCGCTACGAATGTTTTTTTTGCGTCTGCCATTGCACTGCCGCTGCAGTGGCTGTCGGAAAGAAGCAAACATGCAGAGCGCTGTATGGACTCGTGAGGCGCTGCGCTTGTCATAGTCAGTCTCGAGTCTCTATCTTGGGAGTCCCTTTATAACTTCCATTTCGATGAGCTTGTTCTACAAATGCTGCCGTGAAGGGATCGCATCGCAAGGTGGCAATGAACTTCTAAGCTGCCTCTGCTCTGAGTGGGGTTTCGCCCCCTGCAGAGCTTCTTCCTTGATCCTCCGCTCTTGGCTTGGGCGCCCGGTGCCTGCAGAGGCGCCTGGCAAGCCTAGCAGTGCTGCTTACAGTATCGGACCACCAAGTCGGCCGCGGTGTACTCTTGCAGCTGGCAAACATGCTGTCATGTCTGCGGCCAGAGTGGGCAAACGCGGCACGGCCGAGGTCCAGAAGCGAAGTGCACGGTTCCGCAAAGAGTCTTAAAGGAATCGCATGCAGCGATGGTAACCCGTGGTATACCGAGTATATAGCTACATGCAGCAGACAGGCCTCGAGCAATAGTCCTGCAACTCCTGCCATGGGTGCAAACACGTCCAAGTTTGGAACAGCGGTTAAATTGCGTTGGGCTGCGACAAGTGCAGCAAGCCGTCCTGCCGATCAACCCCCTTCTCGCGTGCAGCCGATGGAAGAGTGTCCAAGCGACTGAGATCCTGGCAAGCCGTATGCAGGCTGTAACATGACCAGCTCAACAGGCCTTGACAGAAGTCTACAGCAATCATTACTCTGCCCCTGAACCGAATTCAGTAAGCAACCCCGCGCGCAATTCGGCATGTATTGGATCGAGATTTAAACAAAGAGGTATTTTGCAACCGGGACGCTTCTTGGGAGTTTCCAGGCAGCTCTAAACTTAGCTGGTTCGTTGACGTGTAGTGGGCGAGATGTGAGGGATTTATTTGAGATGGGCACACCAGTACTCCGTACTCGCGTTACTTGCAGGAAAAAGGCGGGCGGGGCTCCGCTCCTGGACCACCGTCTGCTGCACTTGCGCCTCCCGAGCTCGCCCTGCGACGCACGTCCAGAAGGCAAAGAAACGGCCCTGCGAAACAGGAAATCAGCTTTTTCAGCTCCCGTCGCTTGAGCACACTTTCGCCTTCGGAGCTCGAATCCGCTTGCGTCGGCTCCGTGGCACCTCCTCAGAGTTTTTACTTCCACTCTCCCTGCGTCATGTCGTCGCGTCGTCGTCGCAGCGAGGCGAGGGTAACGCGCAGCTCCAAGTCTTGGGCGCCACGCTGCGCAGCTCCCGCAGCGCAAGCTCTGCTGCCATGTCCTGTGCAGATTGGTGCTCGGAGCTCGAGACTCTCCTCCGTGGGCCGGCCTGAGCTTCACCTTTGGTCTTGGCACTGGCCTAGCAGCTGCAAATTTCAGCATATGTGGTCTACGACTACGAGCGCGCACACACGACACAACACACATTCGAATGTATGGTGCAACTGCCATGTGGCACCTGGGGATAGGTTCTGCCGTCAGCCGCTACCCGCCTCAGTGGTTCTTTATTCGCATCAACCAGACTGCAGCACGGCCGGAGCTGGTGTCCTAAGGCATCTGCATCCGATAGGTGACCGTATGGTCTACGTCCTCCTCCTTTGGGCGGGAGCGCGCGCAAAGTGGAGGAGAAGCCGAGCACACGCTGGCATTGTGTCCTCGCTTTCAACGAAGCGATGCTGCAGGCCCTTCCTTCATCTTCGTAGCTTCGCACGAAGCTGCATGCTGCTGTAGACATGCCAACGCATGCCTGTTGCAGTATCGTTGAAGCTCCTGGGCCGATGAGGCTTCTCTCAAAACTCCCTGGACCCTGGGCCCTCAGGGCCACTCCTGCCGAGCAGTGCCTTTAGGTCGCTGCGACGCCTCGAAATCGACCTGATCAGAGGCGGATCGCCGCACGGGCGTGTTGGCGTGTTGGCGTGCCAAGTCGTTTGCGGGTGTTTGTGGCTGCAACACCTGGCCTCTGAGAAGTCAGTGGAGTCCGGTGGTCGTAGCGATTCTGGAAGCGAAGGCGGAGGGAACTTTGCATCGCTTTGTGTAGGCGGACCTGGCTCCCCGACGCTTCTAAGTGCTCCGGTTCTGTTGTACGGTATTGCTTGCTCATCTTTGCTCCGGATTTCTCCTCACCGAGGTTATGACGCATCAGTTCCCACAATGCCACTTCAGCTGCAAGATCCTGCGAGGGGGCTGCACTTGCCATTCGCAGCAAATGTGATCAACTGCCCTTCACTTTCCAACATGAATGCGAAGTTGGATGGGGTCCTGCGCGTGCCTCATGGATGCACCACGTGCCTCATGTCAAAAACGTGACGAGCACAGACACTCAGCACCAAACAACTTCTACTGGCCTCCGGCAAGCAGCGGCCCCCCACCACACATTTCCTAAGCAACACGAAGGCAAATTGATGCACCATGGGCCATATCAAGCGATGTCCGCAAATGCTTGCCCCACACCAGAATAGGGCAGTTTTGAGGCACACAAAAAGCCCGAAAGACTCAACGAAGCTCAGACAGAAACACTCGCACTTCACCGGCAACAGCTTCAGCTTCTTCCACCTCCGCGACGCCAGCTCCGACTCCAACTCAAGGGTCTCCGAAGGGCGAAGTGAAGGGCAGGGCTGGAAAAAGTAGAAAGTCAAAATTCTGTACCCCTTCTGTCTTTGTCTGCTCTTCGCCTAAGATCAAGAGGGTTTGCCACTGAAGGCGCGCTCTCCATCAACATCGGGCCTCGAAGCGCATCTTCACGCCCTGCCTGGAAGGCAGTTTAGCTCAAGCTTAGCGAAGTCTGATCCACGAACTGCAGATCGAGTGCCTCCGGCAGTGATCCAGTAGGCGCTTGCGCCCCTCCCCTTCTGGCAGCTTTCCGAATTCAGGGGCCCCAGTCACATCCAACCTGAGCAGAAACCGAAAGAAACATACAACCCACTTTATCAATTGAGGCAGCTGCCCACAACTCTTTGACATCTGCGCTTCCTTTTGCGATCCATCCAATTGAGGAAGGTGATCAGGACGGACACTGAACAGGAGACAACAGTGCATTGTCGAAGCAACGGGAGAGGGCTCCCAAAGAGTCCCAGGGTCAGCCTTAGCAAAGGCTCCACCCGGCTTCTTGGAAGTTCGAAATCCTCGCAAGGTCCAGGAATGACATGCCCGAGACTGACAGGGAGAAGCAGTCCTTGGCAAACACAGCCCAGGTTTTATCCAGGTCGCCGCCTCTTCACTCGCATGCGCTTGTTGTGCTTGGGATTGCATCTTCCACATTGGTCGTCTTGCAAACCCGGCTCTGTTTAAAGACCTTCGCTGAACTGGAGCCTGTGTCCAAAAGCACCGCCGCAATCATTGCCTGACAAAACCGTGCACTGTCCTGGGCCTTGCAAGGCCAATGCAGATTGGGCAAGACCACCGCGAACTCTCTTTGAACGTGCTGCCAGCTTCGCTGTTCGAAATCTGAGGTCTTTACGCGCACGCGACCTCAGGTACACCTCCTCGCTTTTCAAGCTTTCAACATTATACTTGTCCGAGGGATACCAGAGGCAGTGAATTTCAAAACGGCTATCAACTGCTTGCAGATGACACTGCCGCGTGAGCACGCAGCTTCATGACAGAGACTTAGATGCGAGATTCGACCTGCTTCATCATACTGCACCAACATGATGAACTGTGTCTCATAGTTTGTCTCTGACGAAATTGCGCTCTCAAGACTTCTGCTGCATAGTGCAGCAAGAAGTTCGTGAACAAAGCCGTGTGGACTTTGGTAGTTCGATGCTGAGCCACTGCTTGTGACACCAGATCGACGAGAGAACAAAGCCGTATGGCTTGATTGAAATCAATGCTGCGCAACTGCTTGTGACAGCAGATCGACGAGAACAAGACGAAGAAACGAGCGCTGATGTGCAAATCGATTGAACGAGTGCACGAAGCACAGTTATGGCATCTGCACCCAAGTCAATGTGACGGTCTGCTGCAACGCCTTGTGCAAAGCATGGCTACATGATCTAAAAGTCTGTGATGCAGGGCGGAGCCACCCTTTGGACTTCCGTGTTGCACCGCAGGTAGGCACCATCGCGACTTCCAGTTACACGTAGTGCCGCTGGGTAGGCGCAGGCATCAAGCAATGCCCATTGGTGAAAACATACCTTAGCTGGGCAGTCGTGCTTATTGCTCCCCAAGTCCCAAACCGTGCTGCAGCCGATGAGCTGATCAGCTACCGAACAACGAACAAGCCGATTATACTACTACTACTACTACTACTACTACTACTACTACTACTACTACTACTACT